AGCATGCTTCCTTACGGGTGTACCCTCTGCCATGCGCGTGTTCATTAGAGCACTTAAATCCTCTTGTCTTACAGCCCTCGACTGATGCCCAAACAGTTCCTTGAGGTTCAGAAGCATATCTGCAGCAGTGGCCATTGGCTGATGCTGATGTTGAAGGACATTTGACATAGAAGCCAGAATGTAACACTTCGCCATCTCATCAGCCTTCTTCCACCGAGCATACTCCTGTTTCTCCTCATCTGGGCCTTATCAGCCGGCACATCAGGACAAGCCTCAGTTAGCACATACTTATAGCTTTTAGCAGTCAGCACTATGTCTAAGTTCCTTTTCCAATCAATGTAATTAGGACCGGTGAGTTGATTTTCTTTTAGGATAACAGACAACGGATTGAACGACATGATGAATAAATCTGAGAATTACGAAAATATTTTACTGATTAAACACTTTGAATTTAACTGTTAATATTGACATCCTCAAAACAATACTAACTTAAATTCACCGACATCTTTAAACCTTGAGAATTTAGTATGATGCTCGGGGAACTCTACTAATTCTTCGTTTCATTAAAGAAGGATTTTTCCGGAACCCATTAATTTCCATAAGTCAAAACCAATTTCATGACGAAGGAAATTAATAATCGGTCACCTTTTGGCCATGCAATAAAAATCAGGGACCCCTCGGGGGGTTATGAAATGAATCGCATTCTAAGTGAATCCCATTTCTCGGTCCTGTTGAGGTGTGAAGATTAGTCAAAGAAAGAGAACTTCCTCGTAAGTTCCCGGTCAAAGAAAGAGAACTTCCTCGTAAGTTCCTGGTAAAAGATAGGGAACTTCCTCGTAAGTTCCTGGTCAAAGGAAGGCTACTTCCTTGCAACTTCCTGGTCAAAGGAAGGGAGCTTCCTCTCAACTTCCTCGCAAGAAGGATTTGTTTGGCTATAAATACCTCATTTTGTAACGTCATTTATATCCAATCCAAGTGAAAAAGAAATACATATAAGTGTGAAGAAAGAGTAGAGAGAGTGTATTCATACGGGCTTGTGTGAGTTGTAACATTCGGTTTATCCTCTTATTCTAGTTCATTCTCCTGGCTTGGTTCGCCCCCAGACGTAGGATTTAATCCGAACTGGGTTAACAAATATTCGTGTCTTTTATTGATTTCACATTGGTGTATTATTATTATTCCATCTTATCCGACCTTATTTCCCAACAACTGGTATAAGAGCCAGGAGGTTGGAGATAAGATGGAGGGAAAGATTCAAGTCGAACGGTTCAATGGTTCCGACTTTGGATTCTGGCGAATGCAAATGGAGGCTTACCTGTACGGGAAGGACCTCTACGCACCTCTTGGGGAAAAACCCGAGAAGATGAGCGATGATGAATGGAAGGTGCTCGATCGGAAGGCGATGAGCGCTATAATTCTTTCGCTCTCTCGAAACGTCGCCTACCATGTGAAGGGAGCAAAAAGTACGAAGGAGGTCTTCCAGACACTCGCCGACATGTATGAAAAACCATCAGCAATAAACAAGGTGATGCTGATGAAAAAGCTGTTCAAATTGCAAGTGGAGGAGCGAAAGTCAGTGGCCGATCATCTCAACGATTTCAACCAACTCACGACGCAGTTGGCATCGGTGGATATTTCGTTTCATGATGAGGTAAAAGCCCTGATCTTGCTCTCATCATTGCCGGACAGTTGGGACGTGGTTGTTACTTCGGTGAGCACTTCTTCTGGCAAGGAGAAGATGAAGTTCAACAACATAAGAGATATGATGTTGAACGAGGAGACCCGCAGAAATCAGGCGGGTGGGTCGTCTGGCTCAGCCCTACATACAGAGTCCAGAGGGAGACCCAAAACACGAGGGAAAATCCGTGGGAGGTCAAAATCCAGGGGAAGGAATAAAGGCAAGAAAGAGATGGTGTGTTGGAACTGCGAGAAGCCTGGGCATATGAAAAGCGAATGCCGGGCACCAAGGAAAGACAAAGAAGGTCGGACAGCCAATGCCGCGATGGAGGACACGGCGGATGCACTCTTGTTGAGTGTGAGAAGCTCGCTCGATGACTGGATCGTGGACTCAAGGGCCTCATTTCACTCATGCAGTAGCAGAGACATCATGGAGTCATACACCGCAGGTGATTTTGGCTTGGTATATCTTGCAGACAACAAATCCCTAAAAATTGTAGGGAAGGGATATGTGCAGATCAAGTCCGCAAATGGGTCATGCTGGACCCTACGTGATGTGAGACACATTCCAGGACTGAAGAGAAATCTCATCTCAGTTGGACAGCTGGACAATGACGGCTTCCACACAATGTTTGGAGACGGAAAGTGGAAGGTCAGCCGAGGAGCTATGACTTTGGCAAGAGGGCTGAAGTCAGGAACGCTTTACACGGCGAGTAGATCCAGCTCAAACATTCTCCTGGCAGGAGCTGTCTCACAATCGCACTTGTGGCACAGTCGCTTGGGCCACATGAGCGAAAAAGGAATGAAGGTACTAAAGTTGAGAGGACTTTTGCCCGAGTTGGAGTCAGTGGACGTGGGTCTCTGCGAGCAATGCGTGCTTGGAAAGCAGAAGAGAGTGAGCTTCATAACCACCGGGAGAGCTCCAAAGACAGAAAAACTGGAGCTCGTGCACACTGACTTATGTGGGCCAGCACCGGTGACATCTCTTGGAGGATCGATGTACTACATGACGTTCGTCGATGACTGCACAAGAAAGGTATGGGTGTACTTTCTGAAAAGAAAATCCGAAGCCTTTGATACTT